TCATTGCTAATTTCAAATGGGCTTGCCTTTTACTTGCCTGGTGTTGCACCCATTGACTTTCCTAGAGATGCTGAAGTTGAAGTTAAGGTAATGTATTTAATAAATATGTTGTAATCAGAAAATGACAATAATGGTGAATATAATATTGCATTGATTTAAATCTCTCATAACTTTTTTTTTAAATTCAAATTTTTGCAAATCTTTATTTACAGGCTGTCAAACTGACAAGTGTTAAAACACAATTGCCCTATGAATATTATGCCTTACCTTTCTGTCAGCCTCAGTCAGGTGTTGTCTACAAAGCTGAAAACTTGGGTATGTTGTCAGATGATACAGTGATTTTGTAAACTTTATTGATAAAGAAAATACGTTAATTTTTAATAAAACTTCATTTTATTCATCCTGTAGGTGAAGTCTTGAGGGGTGACCGAATTGTCAACACTCCCTATTTGGTATATATTTTTTCTGTTTCAAAAAAAGAAATGAATTACACCATCAAATCCAATCTTTTAAATAAGAATTTAAATACTAAAATGGGTTATCAAACTACAGTTTATGTACAGGTTTATATGTATTTAAAACTACTTCAGCTATAGTCAACACATTTGAAAATGAATGTTCCAATCAAACTATTCTCAATTACCAGGTGAAAATGGCATCTAATGTAAAATGCCAAGTATTATGCCAAGATAAAGGCTTAAAATATGTTCCAGTCACTCTCACTAAAAACCAGAGCAAGGATATGGCGGACAAAATTATGCATGATTATTATGTCCATTTGTAAGTATTTCACTATCTAATACAGAGGCGTAGCGAGGGGGAGGGGGCGGGGGCGGGGGGGGGGGGGCATATGTCCCCGGGCGCCGACCTTAGGGGGGCGCCAAAATGGGTTGGAAAAACAAATTGAAAGTTTGATCTAATAGCACTTTTTAGAAAATATTTTACATTACAAATTACGAAAGCATGATCTTCTAAGAAATTATATTGTACAATGTTAAAATATTAAGGTAATTTATTAAAGTTTCTATTATATTTTTTTAAAGGATAAAGAATAGAGTGTGTTATTCCCACCTTTGGGCTCATTTAAACTGAATAATTTTTCAAGACTTTAATCTATTAATGCGTATAGTTTTAGCTCATTTTGTTTTCTGTCTAAATTTAATGTAAAAGTAATTAATGAAGAAAAGGGTTGTTAAAGAAATATTTCACACTATACACACGTTAATTTTTATTAGATTGTATTTGAACACTTCTGTAATTTATAATGTGCACAGAATTGTTGACAACTTGCCAGGTGCAACACCTCTGGTTATGCCAGATGGAACTACTATTTACGAACATGGCTATAGGTTGGGAGTTGTGTCAGGGAAAGAGGTAATAGTTTTTCTGTTGTCTTACTTTTCTGTGTATTAGTAATTACATTGATAAAAACGTATTTAAACTTGCTCAACTTAATACATTTTTATTTTCTTTTGAATTTTTTTTAGTTTTGTGATACTTTATTTAGTACCCACTGATAATATGACTAGTTAATAATAACAGTTAAAACATTTTTGGACCTATACCAGGGGCGGACTAGCCTTGGGCAGGGCTGATATATATATATATATATATATATATATATATATATATATATATATATATATATATATATATATATATATATATATATATATATATATATATATATATATATATATATATATATATATATATATATATATTCCGATTCTATTATTATAATAGGCCGAAATTTTTTATAAATCTGCATTTATAATTTTGGCCGGATTGAAATAAGTCTCCTATACTCCGTATATATTATTCCGCCCTATTATAATCGCGTTATCATGTTCATTAGATACGCATGCAACTCTATTGTAAATTTAAAAAAAAAAATTAAAGTACTGAAAAAAAAATTAAAAACTTTTAAATTATAAACATTTATGGATTGATGTACTAAAAAGTAAAAAAAAAAGATTATCTTTAAATATATAATAATACACTACTATTTAAATGACTATAAAGAAAAGAGTGTGTCACTTCCTAAATATAAGTACACGTATCTAATATGAAATGTGTTTTTTTTTGTGTGTGTAAAAATGGTTATTGAACATTCTTGTATAATAAACTTTTTAAAGAACAATTATTTTTTTAACGTTTAGGCATTTCTACACAATCACCTCAATTTGATCCTCAGTTACCACAAGCGAGAAGAGTGAGTAAATTTACATCTCTTTAGTTTAGAATTATCTCATTTTCATAATACTAGTGAATTAAGTTACAAAAATCAGAGGCATTTTTCTTCTTTTTCTTCCAGAAATGCACTCCGTGTGGTGGGATTTAAAGTAAAACCACAAAGGTAATTTTATATAATTTCATTATTTCAAATAAACAGTGTTGAATCTTATTGATTAGCAATACCTAGTAAAGCAGGAATTGGTGTTATATAACCCTTAGTGTTTTGGGTTATTGTTTTGTTTTAGTGATAATGATATGAATATTTAGTTCAATTGAAAAGTAAATATTTTTACTGTTGAATTTTCATTACTGTATTAAAAATAAAAATGTTATGCATTTATTGATGTTTGAATAATTTACTTTAGCTTTGCTGCTTCTGAAATTAAAATTGATGCATCAACTGGATCTTGTGATATCAGTCGAGTAAAAAGCCCAATGAAGATTAATGATGATGGTATGTGTTGCATCATACCGATAAGCTTATCTTTTTGTACTCTTTAATTGATGTATGGTTTTGATTCACTCTGTATACCATAATAAAGCTATACATCTCTTTACCAGCTACAACAGAAGTTCTGTTCACCTATTCAGTGGAGTGGGAAGAAAGTGATATTGGTTGGGCCTCTAGATGGGACATCTATCTGGCCATGAGTGATATGCAGATTCATTGGTTTTCAATTATCAATTCTGTTGCTGTTGTTTGCTTCCTCTCTGGTAAGAACTTTTTGTAACTGTTCTTTAATTATGTGATTTATAAGATACGTTTATAAGAAACGTTTATATTTCTTAGGTTTTTTACATGTTAAAATTTGAATTAAAATATATAGCCTCCCAATTATTTAACAAAGCATAAATGAAATTCTGAATTCTTATTACTTTCTCGTATACGAAGTAAAGGGGAAGTATTGTAATCGTGCAAAAAAAAAAATCGAGATTTTTCCGAATCTCCACGTTTTTACACCTCGCTGTGTCGAAAAATCTTGTCCGTATGTCTGTGTAAGTGTCTGTATGTATGTATGTGTGTTCGCGCGTGTGTGTGTGTGTGTGTCTGTAAACACGATAACTTTAGTACCGTTACAGCTAGGTTGATGAAATTCATATATAAATATTATATCAAATTTGTAAATCAGTATCAACTTTTCAGCGATTTCCGATAACTGGAAGTGGAACTTTTTCTACTTTAAATTTTTCAAAAGCCTATAACTTGAGTACTATTTGAGATAGATAAATAAAATTTAACATATAAGTAAAAGATCTAATTCTCTACCTTCTGTCAAATTTTGACGAATCTCTCTCTCTCTCCCTCTCTCTCTTTATATATATACATATATATATATATATATATATATATATATATATATATATATATATATATATATATATATATATATATATATATATATATATATTGAAGAAAAAAGTACTTGATTATAAGTGGTGCAAAACAATAAATTTCGCATTTTTAACTTAGAAAAAATTAGGAAAATTAGGTAAATTTCCAAGTGCACCAATTCGACCATCTTGTCGGTAAATGATAGGTTTAAAAAAAAATTAAAATGTAGTTTTTTTTTTTTAATTTGATGATAATTATTTCAATGAAAATAGAACTGGATTTTTCAATTTATCAGTGTTTTGTTATGTGAATTTAAATAATTATATTTATGTTGCAGGTATTTTTACAACGATAATGGACAGAACTTTACGCAGAAATATTGCCCAATACAACACAGATGACCATTTGGCGAGTACAACCAAAGTGAGACTTATTGTTATGATACGAATTACAATTTTATTCTTTAGTTTTTTTAAAAAGAAACTTCCAATACATTAACCTTTAAGCATATGTTATTGTGACACATTTTTAGGATAACATAGTAAAAGGGACAGGGTGGACGCTGGTACAAGGAGATGTGTTCAGACCACCCCGCTTCTCAAAGCTCCTAACATCCCTTATTGGAGCTGGCATCCAGATCTTTTTCATGGCACTTATTACAATTTGTATGTGCTTTTTTTTTTTAAATTTTTGTTTAAACTGCTTCACAAGTTAAAGTTGTTTAGTAGATTTAACTTAATGTGTCACTTTTACAATATTTACATCAAATTTAACTGGGTGTTTTAGAAGGCAAGTGTAAGTTTTATTTTAATTTTTTAAATAACAATTTATTTTAGTCTTTGCTATGCTGGGAATGTTATCACCATCCGCCAGAGGCTCCCTCATCACTGTGGGAATTTTCTTGTATATGTTTATGGGGTGAGTTTTTAGTTGCCTTTTACTGGAAATTAACTCATGTGCTGATGAGAATCATTTTGCTCTTCGCAAATATTATCAAATAATATGCATGGCTTTTATAAGAAATAGATTTGAATAGATTAATTTTCCCCCAGTTTCTTTGCTGGCTATTTCTCTGCCCGTCTTTACAAAACAATGAAAGGACTGCAGTGGAAGAAAGCAGCTTTCCAGGTTGATAAACATTTACTTTTGTTTAAACATCTAGGGAACGTCCATAAATGGCGTCACATTCGTAGGGGGAGGGGGTCCGTAATTTTGTGTCGGTGTGTGTGATGAAGGTAAGGGGGTGGGGGTGGGTGGGTGTTTAATGCAAAAAGTTGGGTTTTTTCAAGATGGCCGCCGTTGCCATGGCAACCTTTATTTTTAAAAGAGTTCCTGATGCTTGCAAATATGTTCCTTTAAGTACCCTAACTTAGATATACACAAATAAATAAATAAAACGTATTAATTAATGTAAGCCCTGCTAGGGGGGGATACCTAAAATCTACCCTTCTAGGCTTAACTAACTAATCTGTCCGGTCAGTGCAACCGTGGTAGAACCCACAGTGGTTAAACCCTAACCTTAGTCTAAATAATAAGCTACTAAAATAAAACAAAAACTTTTAACAATTTAATAAAATTTATTGCATGGAACCAAAAGTTATAAAAAAAGAATAGATATAAACTGACACAAAACAGAACCAAACGAAACAAACTTTTTACATCAAACACAACACCCAATTTCGGACTACGTCCTAGAAAAAGGAAAACAAATAAATTAATTACTTTACAAAGAAAAGTTATATACAAAGCATTAACCACAGGCTGGCTGGATTACATCTCCACCGCCTGCAGGTAGTCCCCACAGAATATACTTTAACAATTAACTGGAACACTACCAGGACACTGAGCTCAAACTACTAGCTCAACACAGTTACCAGCCTAACAAAAGGCTAAGTAAAATAAAATCTATTAAAAACAAGTGTACCTTCACAGTGACTAGAACGAACCGAACACTCTCCTGGGGATCAACATGATCACCACAGGAAGCGAAAGGTCACTAAAAAGATAACAATATTATAACCAAACCCGACAGTCCGGAACGAACCGTGACTGTGGGTCAAGTCTAAAAATACCTTTATCCCTGGCTTAACACCAGCCCAAGGGATACAATCAAAGTAATAAAATGACCATAAAAACTCAGAATCTGAGTCCACATGGCCTGACCACAATGGCGGTCAGAAGACAACCACAAAAAAACTTATGGCCAGTAACCAAAATAAAGAGCATAGCAAAAAATAGACATAGTAAAGAAATAAACTTATATCTAACTTACCAGGACTACGACGAACACAAACACAAAATAAATATGGCTGGATGGTGCGAATTTGCTATTCTTTTCACCCGATGACCAGAGAGACTGCCTGCTCCCTTCACCGCAGCTTTACACACAAAAGACAGAGTTGAACAAGCCGGAACCCGACTTCCACACACCTCACACGCTACACGTAAACAAATAGTCCCTAATTCACGGATAACAAACCAAACACGACGAAACATGCAACAGAATATTATAAAAAGACACTTACTATAAACAATGACAACAATATAAACGAAATATATATAAACTAGCTATAACCAGGGACATAAACAGTGAGACAGCGGCGCCATAATACGGGACTACACAACTAAAAAATACGAACAATTTACGACATGAAACGAAACGATACATTCGCCTTCTAAGTTACAAATAATAAAAATACACTCCAGCCGCTCACATACACGCCCCCTAAAGCTTGCGGTCACCGCAAGCTAACAAACTTGAAAAAAACAGCCCACAGGGCATAATCATAAATGTTACAAAAAACTTTGCAGGAAGAACTTGCAAAAAAATCAGCCCACAGGGCATAATCATACATGTTACAAAAAACAAAACTTTGCAAAAGAACTTGCAAAAAAATCAGCCCACAGGGCACGATCATAAATTTTACAAAAAAACATTGTCAAAAAAATCAGCCCACAGGGCACAATCACAAGTCTAGCCTACTAGGGACTCTGCGCTCCCTGACCGACCTACGCAGAGGTATGTCAGGTACTGTGGGGTTACCGGCTGCTCTGGTCCCCGGCAATTGGACCTTATAAATTATGTGGCTGTAGCCTGGAGTAGCCGGCGGTATCACTTTGACCGGCCTTGGGGAGGGTGGTTGAGCCCGGGGAGGCACATATCTCGTGATCTGGGTGCTGGCCACCCGGCGGGTGCCAGAAGGGCCATCTTTCTTCTTAATGGCGTAACACCCGCCGGTGATCGGAGGTACTTCGACCACGACGTAAGCTGTCGGGTCGTCCAGGTCCGCCATTTTGCGTCTGCCTAGTGGGGGTTGTCTCAGAAGGACCAGATCGCCTATGGCCAGTTCAGCTACAGGTGCCTTTTTGACCTGCTTGTCCTTCTTGCTCGACTCTGTCTGGGGGCATCCCCCAGCACCACCACCCGGTGCCTTAATTAAGGATGGGTTAGGTGGAACCATTGCCTCTAGTTCCTCAGATTGGTCCACCTTTATACTGGTTATGCTGGCGCGTAGGCAGGATGTTGGGCCTGATACCACTGACGGATCTGGGTGGAAAGGTTGGTCTAATGGCTGTACCACCTTGTCGTCCTTCATTCCGGGGTCTCCTTTCGTCGCCTGAATGGTTGGTACACTCTTGGCAGACACCAGAGTCCTTTCGCGGGGGCGGAGGGCCCTGTCCCCTCGCCATACCTTCGGTGTCACCCCTGGGGGCTTGATCAGGTGGGCCAATGTGGTCAGGTCCTGGAGAACGTTCATGCCCAACAAACAGGGTGGAGCTGATGAGCCACCCACTGGATCCTTTATCACAAGGAACCCCTTGTCGCGTATTTCTTCCTTGTTGATCTCCAGGTCAGTAATAAAATAGCCATTGTATGGGATGGCCAACCCATTTGCTGCCCTCAAGGACAGGGGTGTGTCTGTTCTTAGGATAATGTTCTTGAGGCTCCTGTTACAAAATGTTTCAGTGACCGTGCTGACTTGTGAACCACTGTCTATAACGGCCGTCACCGGTACACCTTGTAAATACACAGTCAGGGTGGGGCACTGTCCAGCCAGCTTGTGAATGGTGGAGCTTGGGCTCTGCCCACCAGCAGTAGTAAGACTCTGAATCACTGCGGCCTCCTGCTTCTTTGAGTTTCGACAATTGCGGGCGAGGTGACCTTGCTGGTTACAATTGTAACACATTCTTGTTTCCGCCTCTGGACGTCGGCGGGGTACCCTTCGGCTAGATGACACTTGAGGGTTCTGTGCCAACTGAGTCAACAGAGCCGATAGCTGCTCTGCGAGCTTGTCCACCCTGTCTTCCAGCTTAGACCTGGGCAGGGTGGATTCTTCCTTGGGGCGGGCATGTAGAGCTGCCACATAGGCAGGTTCTGTCCCTGGGTCCTCGTCTCCAGACCATCGAATGGCCGCATCCCGTATGGCCAGGAAGGGGATCTTAGGGTCCCTGAAAACTAGTTCTTGCAACTGACGTCTGACTGAGGACTGGCTCAGCTTTTCCATAAACTGGTCCCTTAGGAACTCAGCATTCGTCTGAGGGACTTGCAGGGTGCCCTGTCTGGCAACAAGGGCCTTGAAGGCCCTGTGCAGGCGGTGCGAGTAGGCCCTCACCGACTCGTGTTGGCCCTGCACAACCATTTGGAGTTGCGCCATTAGCTGGGAGACGCTCCTCTTCTCCCCATAGACTTCTCGGAGGAGCCTGATGGAGGCCTCTGGGTCACGTTGCAGGTCATCTCCCCTGCAGCTCAGTTCTTCTCTCACAGCTTCCCCCAGGTACTGCCAGAGAAGGTCCTTCCTCTCTTCCACTGAGACGTCTCTTCTGGCCCTCCAGAGAGACTGGACCTCGTCAATGAATCGTTCCACCTCATAGCCGTGGCTGTCCCCATGAAACTTCCGGATGAGGATCTCCCTGGGTGGAACGATGCTGATGGTTTGTGCCACCTCCGCCATCTCGTCCGAATTGGGTGTTAAGACTACAAACAATTCCTACACTAAACAAAAACTAAACACATATGGTTCCATAAAGGGCCTATCAAGAAACAAAAATTTATCTAAGCTACACTAGCCCTAGAAAAACAAAAATTTAACTAGACTAAAGCACTGACCCCACTCGTGCTACCAATTTGTAAGCCCTGCTAGGGGGGGATACCTAAAATCTACCCTTCTAGGCTTAACTAACTAATCTGTCCGGTCAGTGCAACCGTGGTAGAACCCACAGTGGTTAAACCCTAACCTTAGTCTAAATAATAAGCTACTAAAATAAAACAAAAACTTTTAACAATTTAATAAAATTTATTGCATGGAACCAAAAGTTATAAAAAAAGAATAGATATAAACTGACACAAAACAGAACCAAACGAAACAAACTTTTTACATCAAACACAACACCCAATTTCGGACTACGTCCTAGAAAAAGGAAAACAAATAAATTAATTACTTTACAAAGAAAAGTTATATACAAAGCATTAACCACAGGCTGGCTGGATTACATCTCCACCGCCTGCAGGTAGTCCCCACAGAATATACTTTAACAATTAACTGGAACACTACCAGGACACTGAGCTCAAACTACTAGCTCAACACAGTTACCAGCCTAACAAAAGGCTAAGTAAAATAAAATCTATTAAAAACAAGTGTACCTTCACAGTGACTAGAACGAACCGAACACTCTCCTGGGGATCAACATGATCACCACAGGAAGCGAAAGGTCACTAAAAAGATAACAATATTATAACCAAACCCGACAGTCCGGAACGAACCGTGACTGTGGGTCAAGTCTAAAAATACCTTTATCCCTGGCTTAACACCAGCCCAAGGGATACAATCAAAGTAATAAAATGACCATAAAAACTCAGAATCTGAGTCCACATGGCCTGACCACAATGGCGGTCAGAAGACAACCACAAAAAAACTTATGGCCAGTAACCAAAATAAAGAGCATAGCAAAAAATAGACATAGTAAAGAAATAAACTTATATCTAACTTACCAGGACTACGACGAACACAAACACAAAATAAATATGGCTGGATGGTGCGAATTTGCTATTCTTTTCACCCGATGACCAGAGAGACTGCCTGCTCCCTTCACCGCAGCTTTACACACAAAAGACAGAGTTGAACAAGCCGGAACCCGACTTCCACACACCTCACACGCTACACGTAAACAAATAGTCCCTAATTCACGGATAACAAACCAAACACGACGAAACATGCAACAGAATATTATAAAAAGACACTTACTATAAACAATGACAACAATATAAACGAAATATATATAAACTAGCTATAACCAGGGACATAAACAGTGAGACAGCGGCGCCATAATACGGGACTACACAACTAAAAAATACGAACAATTTACGACATGAAACGAAACGATACATTCGCCTTCTAAGTTACAAATAATAAAAATACACTCCAGCCGCTCACATAAAGAACATGGTATTTTGAGCCTACCCCCTTAAATGTAATGTGATACTTCTTATTAATTATTATTGGTTTTGATGAAGAACTTGTTGTTAAACTTATTTTCCTTAATGATTTCAGACAGCTACATTATATCCATCTGTTATGTTTGGGTTTGGCTTGTTGCTGAACTTTTTCATCTGGGAAAAACATTCTTCTGGAGCTGTAAGTTTTAACTTACACTGCTATCCATTAAAGTATTTTGAGTTTGTTAATGAGGACTCGTGTTCTTATTTTTTAATAATTACAATAAAAATTATTTTGTACAGCTAGTCAATCAATTAATTTTGAAATATTTTTTTTTGAAAAAAGTATTACACTAAATAGATTTAAAAACTGAACAAAAGTTCCCTTGATTTGATCAAAAAAATTCATAAAAAACGTTTTAATAACAAGCTTTTATGGTATAATGCACTAAAAATGAGAAAAAAATGACTCTTTAGATATATAATAATACACAACTATTTAAATAACTATAAAGGAAAGAGTGGGTTATAGTTAAATAGTAGTGTATTATTATATATTTAGAGAAAATTATTTTCTCCTTTTTAGTGCATTATTACATAAAAGCTTGTTTTTTGTGATTTTTTTCATCAAGGCCCTACTTAAAAATTTTTATTACAGTAACGTTACATGGCTAAAATCTATTGCGCTCCTTATTAACATGATAACGTGCTTGTAACAGTGCGGAATAGTTGGAAAAGTCTGCCTACTAATTTGGACAAAATTTTAATTAATTCATAAAATATTAATTAGGCGTCAAATTAAGTCAAATTTAATGTCAGATTGCATTGTCTTCATGTCTTGGCCCACGTGCCGAGTTTGAAACGAATCTGTCAGAAGTGCCCGACATTTCGCTCGGACTTTTCGATCTAGACAGACAGACTGACGAAAGAGAAAGCAAGAAAAATAAAAGCGTGTGAAATAAATTATACACTACTATTTAGATCTAAATAACTATAAAGAAAAGCTTTCCTTTATAGTTATTTAAATAGTAGTGTATAATTTATTTTCTACTTTTCAGTGCATTATTACATAAAAGCTTGTAACTAAAACGTTTTTTAAGAAAAATTTTTCAGTAGCCTACTTTTAAAAATTTACAATAGACTTGCATGACTAAAAACCATGCGCATCTAATGAACGTGATGACGCGTGTCTAATAGTGCGGAATAGTTTGATGAGACAGCCTACTAATTTGGACACATGTTTAATTTATTCATAAAAAATTGATCAGACAACCACTTAAGTCAATTTTAATGTCATGTAGTATTGTCTTCACGTCTTGACCCACGTGCCAACGTAGAAACAAATCTGTCAGTTAGAAGTGTTCGAAATTTTGCTCGGGCGTTTCGATCTGGACAGACTGACGACAGAACGATAGAGACAGTGAGTTAAATAAAAGCTTGTAAAAATCTTATTACCATAAATCTTTGTAAACATGCGGAAACTTTCTAATTACCAGGTACCATTCACAACTATGTTGACATTGTTGAGCAGGTGGTTCGGTATCTCCCTGCCTCTGGTTTTCATAGGATTCTATTTGATCTTCAGAAATAAGGTAACGTCCTTTAAAGTATGATCTCCAACTGTTGCTTTGTATAATTCACACTTTTATAAGTAGTCATTGATTTTAGAGCCTCCTGAAAACTCTGTATTTTCACAATTTATACACGTGTCTTTTATTTTGAAGACTGTTGGCCTCTAGGTCTGTAGTTTAAAACTTTTCTGCATAAATCGACTTCAGGTCATCTCTACAACTATGTCTTGAATATCTTGCTACAAATAATAAAGATTGTGTCTATGCCATTTTTCCGTGCATTTAATAAAAACACTTGAAGATTATTGCTCCACATGTAGTCTTTATTCGCAATACTCATTACAGCTAATCATATTCTACTTCTAATCCAGTGGATCTTAACATTTTTAGGGGGGGGGACGACCCCACCAGCTTCACGTGCGCATTCGCCGAACACTTCTTCAAAGAAAAAAAAACAACATGATTTTCTTCAAATTAAAAAGATTGTTATATATTTTACTGGTGCAAAAAATTAACCGTGCTTTAAAGAACAAAACCATTAACATATGATTCGCGACATCAGCTTGAATTCATTGAGTGTTGTGGTCTTGTATTTCCATCTTCATCCAGTTAAGAAAGTGTTTTCTCTGGGTTTTTTTCTCCAGAATTTTTTTTCCGCGAAAGAGGGGAAGGAGGGGGGGGGGGGGGTCGAGAACTGAAAATTTGGAGGGGGGAGGGCGGATACTGGTAAAAGTATAAATTTTCTATTAAATTTCTATTTCATTTGGGGGAGGGATTTGTGGAAATGCTTTGGGGGAGGGGGGATAATGCCTGAAAGAATTTCTGTGTTCTTTCAGTTTTAGCTTTGCCGGTGCTAGACTAGAAATACTCAACATGGTATTGCAGATTATACAGCTAGCGTGCTGACCCTCATCAAATTCCGTTATACATTTCCCTTCATGCTTTACCTATTCGTCCCATTACTTCCGGGCAGATTAGGCTTGCATAGGAGAGAAAACTCTAAAATCAAACAACAGCTTCCTTGTCACCAGTGTCGGGATCGCCTCATGGGGGGTGGGGGGTTCAATTTTTTTTTCCATTTATATATTATACACAGAGAGTTAGACTGCCTTACTCAATTTTAAATTAATTATTTTAACAATTTCTTAATTCAGTAATTGAACCTATTAAATCGAAGTGTATATCATGAGATGAGACAACAAATCACACACAAATTTGCTCTAACTTCGTTCGGGCGAGATATAATCGTGCTTTAAAAAGCTTATATCTCATTTATACCTTTTTATATGTAAATATATTAAACAATACCTTTTATATATGTAAATTCTACAGTTTGTGTCATTCCCCCCCCCCCCCCCGGTAAAAGCTTTAAAGTGTTCACATTTACTACTAATGATGTTTATCTATAGTAGATTGTTAAATCAGCGGGATAAGCATTGTTTTCTTTATAGTTTGCATGTTTACGTCAGGATCACCACTCAAATTAACCATTCATTGAACTGTCAAAAAACGTATTTATTCTAGATATCTTGCGGTCCGCACCCCCCGCCCCCGCCTTCGACGCCTCTGCTCGGAAAATATATTGCCAACTCCAACAGAGAGAGAGAGAGAGTGAGAAAGGAAGAGGAGTGCGCAAATGGGCGTTTATATATTAGGGTTCTGTAAATTATTTACTTCTCAGCGGATATAAATTATCTTCGCCATTATCTACTCTTAGCCCGGTCATGTAAAGCGTCAAATCTACACAACAATAACTCTACGCAATAAAACTAATAAGATTCCGAGACAAGTTCCAGAACAAGCTTGGTACATGAATCCTTTCCTTGGGTAAGTAACTGGAGTATTTAAATATTTACATAAATCTTCTAAAAGATAGGTATAAACCAGTGACGTTCAGATGTGGGGGGGGGGGGGGGGGGGGAAAGGGAACTGAACAGGGCCTAGGCCCCGGGCATATATTAAGGGGTGGGAGGGCATCCTACGGAGGTGGATTTTTTATGTGATTAAAAAAATTCGATATATCGTGTCATGATGTCATCGTAGCTTTTTCATTTGTTTGCTGATAGTGATATCACCCAATAAATACGCAATCACCTATCACTCGTTTTTACATTACACTGTCCGTATCGCAAAACTTATATAGAAAAGGTGGACATCAGTGAAGCCGGGTCGTAGTCCTGTGATAGTAATTGATATTCCCTTAATTAATGTGTGTGCTATTTATTTAGTATAGTGTAGGGGCATCTTTTAAGGTAGGCCTACTTTTGACCAAATAATTCCCATGCACTGTAGGGGCATCTTTCAAGTAATATGCCCGTATTCGTTATACTAACTTTCAAAACATCCGTAGTTTTATTTTTATTTATTTTTTCTACGTCGTAGAGGCATCTTTAAAGTAATTATTCGTATATGCATTATAATATATTTTAAGTACATCCGATGAAATGCCCAATTCAATGTATACTACATTTTAAGGGGGTTGGCTTCGGTAAAAAAAATATTTAATACTAGAGAGCAAACAATTTTTTCTCTACAGCTTTTTTAAGGTATTTCCGGTAAAAACACTAAATTTTTGTGGCATAAAATCTAGTGTTTTTGACGGACCCACTATTCATAAGAAATTTTGAAGATCTGCACTTAAAATTTGTAGCTGAGTAACTCAAAATATTGTAGAAGATTATGAATTCATTGTTTATTGGACTTAAAATGTATTATTTTATAATTGGTGAAAATCCTTCGAAGAGGTAATTTTTTTTAATATGGCCGCCGTTGTCATAGTTACCAAAAAAAATGTTTGCTCTCTAGTATTAAAAAGTTTATTTTTTTTATTTTTTCGGAGCCTACCCCCTTAAAAGAATCCAAAAAGTAAGTATCACCATCATCATCATTCCTTTGTGGCCCCTGGGGAGCAAAGGGCTGCAACTACACATTTCCAGCGGACTCGGTTTTGGGCTGCTCCCTTAATCTGTGCCCATGTGAGCCCAGCTGTTTCCGCCTCTTCCTTAACCGTTCTTTTCTATGTCTTTTTTTTTTTTGCCGGCCCACTTACCCTTTTCCCTGAAACAGTAAGTATGCCCCTCATCATTTTATATATGGTAGGGGCATCTTGAAAATAATTATGCTCATATTCATACAACACATTTGAAGGGCATCCATATAGTAATTATACCCATTATCATTGTGTCTAACGTTGGGGTATCGCTAAAGCTTTTAGGTACATGTTTATTTTAATGCATTTTATAGGTATCTAAAGAGTAATTGTGCTAATATTATTATTATAAATTGCTATTATAAATAGCACAGTGGATTGTTAGACACCGACCAAGGTAGAAGCTTTTTTTAAGGTTGTAAGGTATGGTAAAGCTGGCAGCTTTAGACGGCCATTAGCTTCAGTTATATTAAAAAGAAACAAATAGTT